TATATACACATACATACATACATACATACATACATACATACATACATACATAATATGTTTAAATCCACAAAACCATACCCGGAGCAGAACCAGCAACGCCACGCGCACTCTTGCGCATCATAGACCCTCTCTTCGGCGGCAGTGGAGGTGGAGTTTTTAAGTCGTTCTGATTGGATGAGGGCTTCCGCACACTTCCCCTTACAGACATTCTCATTGGTGGGTTTTTAACAGACATTCTCATTGGTGGATTTTTAGACATAGTCGTGTGAGGTTGACCTGTAACCATTTTAGATTTGATCGAAGTGGGTACACGATAATGAGATAAAAGTAAAGCAGAGTACGAGTGAGAGTAAACGAAAACATGGAGTATGTCTTGCCATCCCAATGCAACCTTATATTAGGTGTTACTAGACAACCAAAACGTAACTAATTATGTGCATATATTTGATATATATGGATCTGCAAAATGTTAGAATATATACATATATATATATTCTAACATTTTGCAGATATATATAAATACAGACATACATACATACATACATACATATATACCCACACCCATACCCACAAACACACACACACACACATATATATATATCTATACCTACCTGTACCACGTATAGATTGCCGTATAGACATTCGTCCGGCTGGGACGACAGCGGTTGCCCGTACAGACGGTCGAGTGGAAGAGCCTCTGGGAACGGGAGGACCATTGGCGTTCCTAATCTGTAGTGTGCATAGTAATAGTCATATATAGGGCTAAGACCATCGGCGTTCCTTATTTGTAGTGTGCATAGTAATAGAGTGATATATAGGGAGGGCTAAGACCATTGGCGTTTCTTATCTGCAGTAGATGTACATAGTGTCAGAGTGATTTATAGGGCGAAGGCGTTCGGAGTGGAATGTACAATAAGAAAACGTTATTTATATATCTAGTAGATGTAATTTGTCATCTGCAGGAAATGTACAGAGTTTCAGAGGGTATATAGGAGAAAAACCAGGTTTATATATCGAGTGGATGTAGTTCTCATATGCAGAAAACGTATAGAGTATGAGAGGACATATAGGGGAACAAAAAACACCCATGTTCATTCATCAAGTAGATATAATCTCTCCTCTGCAGGGAATGTGCAGGGAATACGACTGATACCTTAAAAAGACAAAAACCAAAACCAAAACCAAAACCAAAACCCAGGATGTGTATCGGATTGTAATTGTAGTAGTCTTGTTTAGGGAGAGAGGGTTCAGTGCAATACTGATCACAATGGGATTTGTACACAATTGATGTATCGAGTTAAACACCAGATGAGCCTCGCGTGCACCTATTGTTCTAGGAGTGGACAAGGCTGCACCCGAAATATGAAAGAATGGTCATGCACATGCACATGCAGTTCAATTCCAATTCCAATTCCAAATTCGGGAATTAGCTGTGATGGATATAGACCCGATTGATATAACTGAAAAAGGAAAGTGCCTCCTTTCACAAATACACTCTGTAGAGGTGATGCTCAGACACAACGTTTCCGGATGCTCGCCCCCTCAAATTGCCCATCCGATTCTATTTCAAGGAAATAGGGACGGTACATGACAACCCGAATAATACAATTGAAAACTAATAGTGGTCTCATACACAGCTAGCAGGTGTAACTAATAGTGGTCCCATACACAACCAGCATGTGCATATGTACATGACAACCCGAACAATATAATTGAAAACTAATAGTGGTCTCATACACAGCTAGCAGGTGTAACTAATAGTGGTCCCATACACAACTAGCATGTGCATATGTACATGACAACGCGAACAACACAATTGAAAACTAATAGTGGTCTCATACACAACTAGCAGGTGTAACTAATAGTGGTCCCATACACAACTAGCATGTGTAACTAATAGTGGCCCCATACAGAACTAGTATGTGTACCTACACAGCACCTCACATACTTACAGAGGCTCGTTGTATGTCGCGTTTCTGTTTGAGCAGTTCCGAATGAGTCATAGCGGCGGGTGAGATTCTTCTCATTCCCGTCATCGGCTTCTTGGGGATCTGAGGTGCTTTTCTATTGGACGAGAGGAGTGCTTATTTTTAGATGTCACTCTGAGGTGCTTTTCTATTGGTCGATAGAAGTGTTTATTTTTAGATGCTACTCCAAGAGAGATACAAGGTCTTCACTATTGAGAGGAGCAAATGTGCGTATGCTCTGAAACGGTGCTATTATACGGCTATTATACGCTGCTGAAAAACCATTCACATAACCTCGCAACGAGATACTCATACATATTACCACACACACACACACACACACACACACGCACACACACACACAATACTGAGCCACATACAGGCACACACACAGGTACAGACATAGACACAGGCAAAGACACAGACACATTAATGTACACAGATATTGACACCGACACCGACACAGACACAGACAGCAGTTTACTTACCTGAGATAGACTGGGGCGGCTCCAGGCTTTTCCCTCTGCTCTTGTGCCTCTCTCAACGTCGCCATTTGATTGGCCAATGAGTCGGATATTCCGCTCTTTCTACTGGTGGATCTATCGCCGTAAAGAGCACTCAGTGGCTTGTGTCCTTCGTAAATGGATGTGCGTGCGTTTGCAGGACTCTTGCCGTCCTTCTCCGCACCCTTGTTTCAGTATAGATGTATATATGTAAGATATATGTAAGTATATATGGACGATGAAGGTCAATGAGTGTTTGCTTGTATATATATATATACATATATTCATTCATATACATACATATATATATATATATACATATATACATATACATACATATACGTTTACATATAACAGCACGCACTATACCTAGTGATATATACTGGGCCGTAAGATGAAGATATACCCCTGGTATAGGATATATATTGGGACGTATCATACCTAGTAATACATGTTATTGTCCCAATATATATATTTTTTACATCTCACGTATTAGGTACGTAGTAGTATACATCACATCTCACGTATTAGATATGTAGAAGTATACATCCCATCTCAAGTATAAGATATGTAGTAGTATACATCACATCTCACGTATAAGGTATGTGATGGCATGACCGATACCTTGTCCATGTCCGCTTTCTGCGCTCTGGTCATAAACATCGCAGCCGCATCTGCAGCCAACTTGTCTGCCCGTGAATCAGTCTCTCTGTGACAATGAAGAGCAACGAGGCGTGTCTATAAATAGAACAAAAACACGGAGAAAAAACCGTCTATATGTAAAACACATGCGCTAATAAACTTGTCTGTCCGCGAGTCTGTTTCTCTGGGATAGTGTAGGGCAGAGAACGAGAAAGGATTATAAACACAGACACAGACACAGACACAGACACAGACATAGACATATACATAGACGCAGACACAAACACAGACACAGACACAGACACAGACACACACATATATATACATATATATTATATTCCATACAGAAAGACATGTATGATGATAACAATATCAAACACAACACTCAAAGAGAAAAAATACACACACACGCACAACATATCTATATAGATATGCACAGATGAAATAATACACATTAAGGAATCAGGGCAGCGAGACAAGCCCTTGAGCTGTACTACATGGCACCCTCCTCATTTTTTGCCTTACGATCACACCACCACTACACCCACCACAACCCACAAAAACCCTAAAACCATAAAAATCACCATATCCACACCCCTTGGGTTGTCCCCAGGCATCACCCCGACCCTCACCAATCGATACCAAAAACACATACAACACCCCTGAGCAACAAAGCAAGGCTAAACCAATAGAACACACTCATGCATTAACCAACTGACATCCATGTACTCACTTGTAGTCAGCCTCTAGTGTCTTCGCCTCTTCCTGGGCCACCTTCATCTCCACTAGTTTCTTGAGCTTGAGTCGATTAGCCTCACGTTCAATGTTCTCGTTCTTCTTGCGCTCCATCATGGATGAGCGGTCTTTCATGCGCTGGAGGGTTGTGGAGAAAGTGAGGGAGAAATGAAATCATGTCAGAGTATATATATATATATAAATATATATATATATACATAAATATGATCTTTGTCTTCTACACCACACTTCACAGATGAAAAGTATATAAGCACTTAAACCAGCACAATACCTGATATAATACAGAGCAACAAATGACAACACATCACACACTCGCGAACATGATACACACCAATACGACTCTCTCTCGCTCTCACATACCCGTGTGCTGCGATTGAAGAGGGCCATTTTGCGTTTTTCGATGGCCTCGTCTTTGGCCTTTCTCACGGCCGCTTCCTCTTCTGCTGCTCTCTTCTTAGTCGATTGCGTCGTGTCAGGTTTCTGTTGCAGTCGGATAGGAGTGGTTCCAGAACTATTACACATGATATAATGGGCAATTGCGCAGCCAACACATACAAATACAAACATATAAACAAACACACATATATATATACAGACATACACACACACATATATATATACAGACATACACACACACACACATATATATATACAGACATACACACACACACACACATAATATATATATATATATACATATACATATACACACACACACATAATATATATATATATATACATATACATATACACACACACGTACACACATAAACCAGCATCGTACACTTACAATTGTACAGTAGGTATATCTTCTACTAACATAGTACATTGACAACTATAAAAGATGTTTAACCACACGGTAGATACCAATTATACATACTGTTTAATCTAATTGTAGATACCTGGCTTTGGCGTGGCTGTGGGCATATACCGGTAGCATTAGCCTGGGCGATACAGTAGTCGTATTCGTTTAGTCTTGCTTGCTCAACAAGAAGCGACTCCTCAGTCTGTGCGCGAGCTTTCTCGTCGCCCATATTTGGGTTGTTCTCGTAGGTATCCAGTAGCTGGGTGTATGTGATATGTGTGTATAGGAATGGGGACAGATGTGTCATTACTGAAAGATAATTTGAAGTGCTTTCATATATATATAAGTATATATATATATATATATATACATATAAGTATATGTATATATATACA